ATGGACAAAATTATCCACAAATCTCCCCATCATTTTCAGGAAATGGTTAGACAGAACTGGATCCTGACAGGTAGATCTTCTCTCCCTCATCCACTGTATTTTGTAATATATTTTGAATTTTGGAAAAATTTATAAATTAATTTATATAGTATTTATCATGATGTTCTGAATAACAGTTAATGTTATATCAGTTTTGTTATACAAAACATTATATATATACAAAATATTATATTATACATTTTTATTATAACATTTGCCATGGTGCTGTACAATTTAGACAAAATAATCTACTGGAGCATACTGGCTGCAATGCTTGGGGCAACCCCTCTGCAAGGAGTGTCCACTTAAACAAAGGGTTTTTTACATGACCATAACTTTCTAAAATGTTTTGCATTTTTCGTTGTAGGTCTGGTCTGCCCAGCTGGGGATATTTTTGAAAGTTGAACAAAACCAGCTTAGATGCTAGTAGATGAAATATAAGTAAAAACATACTTCCTGCTTCTTTAAAAAATGAAGCTTTTGGTAAAAATAGAAATTCAGCTGATGTGACTTGGGTATGAAAGCTGTGTTTGGAAAGGAAATAGTCTTCACCAAGGGGTGTGAACAGTCTCATTCCAAAGGAAATGGTTTTGATTTCTCTGAGGTTTTAAAAAAAATTGCTCAGGACCTGATCTGAAGCCCATTGACGTCAAAGGAAAGATTCACAGTGCCTTCAATGGGCTTAGGATCAAGTGTGAGCTGAGCATGGAACACTGTTCAAGGCCTTTAGATCACCACCAACATTTTAACATCTGATTCTAAGCATGTGTGTTGACCTGGCCTCTAGCTTTGGGATAGTGGGTATAATTGTATCTCCAAAAGTAACTGCAGATATAAATCAGTGTTGAATTCTTTTTGTACCTAGATCTAAAGTTTGATGTCAAAATGAAGCCTTGGTGATGAATTCTGTTATGCAGACAGCAGAGAATGGGACTTAAGGGTGGTTTCAGGCTCATTTTGGTGCCCTGGGTGATTCCATTTTCTTAATTTTCATACCAACTACTGGTCCATGAGCCACCTCAGATTTCATTTGGGCAAAAACTTTGACAAGACAAGGGATGCTGAACTGGACTTTAAGTTGCTGCATTCTGTATTTGAAGAGTTTGTTTAGATAAGCTGAAGAGAGAACATTCTTACAGGATGAGTGAAGGATGTTGCACTTTGTATGACCATGAATGACATAGTAACTGGGATAAATAGAGATGCTTTCTTCTGATAAAGACAGACAGATATAAACACATACTTTTACTGCCTATTAATGAGTATTTAATCTGCAGTCTAAAGTCATGTCAGTGTAAATGAATAAAATTACAGATGTGCTCTGCTGACCAAATGTGAGTAGAAGGGACTGCAGAAATATCTGTAAATGTTTTTCAGGTGGAGAGTGAAAAAACACTGGAATCTCCACCTGGGATAAAGCCGTGTCTTCAGCTGCAGGAACTTCTGAAGAAAAGGGACTATATTAACTGACTGGGAGAGGACAGACAGAGAGGGAAAAGACTTTTGACTGAGATCCAGGATGAAATTTTCCATACTACAATGTGGTCTGGGGATGATAGCCAGCTGCCCTCACTTTGATCAGCCAGTTAGCTGCTCTACTTGATTTGTGAGGCTGGATGCTGGAAAGAGAGTGAGCAAGTCAAGAAACCAAGATTTCTCCACTACAGAAAAGTGCATAACATAAGAAAGACATAGGAAAAAAATCTTCCCAACACCCCATTGTGATTACTACCTTTTTTTTCTTTTCAATAGACTGTCTAAACTATTTAGCTTCCTTTAAAATGCCTAGAGTGCATTGCCACCAACAATGACCACACCTAACTGGCTGCTGGAAAAAATGGGCTACATTTCTCTTAAGCAAAATAAATATAATCCAACTGACCAGAAAGACAAATAGAAAATTTTCACTTATTTCCAGTCAAGATTTGATGCAGTAAAAGAGCAGGTAAAATTCTGAATGAATTACTGGTGATGTTGAAGCATAAAATTTATATAATTAAATAGTAATTCATTCTGAGAATAATAATGATTTAAATTATTTGGATTTCTAGTACTGAAATATGGGACTGAACTGAGGATAAATTTGCATCTGCTGAGTACTACAAATCTAAGCTATGGAAAGTTGCTAAGCATATATTTCTTATGTTGTTAGACTTGCCAATCTCATTGTTCAAATAAATACTTATTGCAAAGCTTACTTTTATAACATTTTCTTAATCCTGCCTGCTTATTTTGTTTTACTTTATACGAATGAAAAATCTCTACAAAGGACCCTGGTTCTGCACTTTTTCCAGACCAAATATACATACCTAAATGTTGTTTCTTCAATAGCAACAGTGAACAGCTTATGAAACAAACACCTGCTGGTAAGAAAAGAACCCTCAAAAATTAATTTTAAAGAATATTCTTTCTAGTCTTTATTTTCATTAGCTCTTAACAATTGGCCTGCTTTCTCTTGGAACTAATAATGACAATGACTTACCAAAAATTTTCTCCATGATTTAAAAATTTTCCTTTTAGACATTCTTTGGTAACAGTTTCCACTCAGTGGATGCAATCTCCAGATCTGTGGGCTCAGAGTGATACTGTTCTCACATTGCATATGAGGGTAGTCTAAAGCACTATGTGTAGTCATACAGTGATGCAAAGCTATGCAGATTTAGGTCACAAGTCCTGCTTAAACTACATCATATAATGTACAGTTGTTCCAGATCCAATAACCAATTTAAAATTGAAAGTTAATACATTACATTAATAATATCATACTGCCTGTGGGATCATTTGTCAGTGTTACCATAAAAGACTGATGATTTGATAACTGAAGAGTATTTATTATAGGGGCAATTTGTACTATTAGACTATAAATAAGAATGTCTTGGCATTTCTATAATAAATCCTATTTTCAGTGGTCTATTACTCGGTTATAAAAAAAAATCACCCTGGGCTGAATTAGATCTATTGGATGTACAATAGCAATAATATATTACCAAAATGTACATTTAATCCAGTGAGTAATACGGCCTTGAAAAACCCTTAAATGTGTATTAAATTGATCACAGATATTATTTACATAGAGATTGGAATAAATCTTTTGGACACTGTCAATATTCTAAACAAAAGGTCTATAGGTAAGATGCTGATCTTATTTGCATATCTAAAACTACACTAGTGTCAAGAGAGCTGCCCCAGGGAAAAATGATCCCTGATGAAAAATGTGAAGGAGAACAAAATCAGACACGGATATAGAATTATTCAAAATTAGCTATATAGGATGGGCTTAGATAAAATGTAAGAAGCTGTCAAACATCATACATGCTGTCAGACTTTTAAAAGACCTGACACAGTAAAAAGAGAATGACGCTTGGCAATTTCTGTTTATCCTTGGCCAGGTCGTATCCTGCCTGAACAGTTATCAGCAATGTAAAGGATGTCAGCACCACCTTTCCCTTGGCAGGCAGGAATCGGACACAGGTGCCAGGAGTGTCCCTTCCCGTTATCCCCTGGGTGGGAACCCCAGCCAGGTGGATGAGGGGGTGGGAAGGAGATGGGCCCACAGAGGTGCTGAGCAGCATCAGCACGGGCGGTGCACAGCGTGAGCATTGAACTGACATGCTGTGCTGCACTGGAGGCATTGTGCCTCTCCAAGGTATAATCCCTTCCAGCGTTCTCCTCAGAGTTGTACCAAGCCACATCACCCTGTAATTAACGCTGTGCCTAGGAGGCACAACGGAGCCTTTAGTATGGCCACAGGCTTTACATGCACCTTAACTTGCAAATTGCAGATAAAAACACTTAAGTATAAACTGCCTCTTCCTTTTTTTTAAAGAAAAGACCTTGATTTACATATGGAAGAGAAAGTAATTACATTTAACAGATGTCACAGCTCTTAAAGAATATCTGATAATAATTAATCACTAAGAAAAAAACAGAAAGAAGAAAATTCAATTCATTTCAGAGCTGCAGTCAAAACCCCAACCTCTGAAAGGACTCTGTTCTGTTCTACTCAATTATATCCTATTCTATTCTTTCCCAGATTTTATATTACACATATTATTTTAACATTGAAGCATCTTTCCAGACTACTTCATTCAACAACATGATTGCATTCTGTTCCATCAACTATATTCCATGAAGTCAATCAGAGCTGTGACATCTCAGTGACATGCAGGACTGCCAGGCACCTTTCACAATTCTCTAGCCACTGGATATATTTTTTAACTTCATCTGAGTTCATCAGAGTTTATTCTCATCATAATATTGAGAAAGTAAATGCTAAGTGAATCTAATCCTGATCTGCCTGTACCCCTCCCTCCACCATCAGTATGTCAGAGCACTGAGTTTGTGTGTTTATAAATGGCATTTGCCCTCCTATCTATCCATTTTGCTTAAGTACTCCCTCAGCAGAGTGTAGAGAAGCAGAATCAGGATGCTCACAAGACCTTTGCTTGAATATCCAGCTCATGACTGTAGACAGACACCAGGGCATAAGTGACATTTTTATGCTATGTTAGTACAATATCACATGAGCCTACACCAAACTGTATGGTATTTCCACGAGTTTGAAGAGATTTGCCAAGCATTTTTATTCTTCTATATTTTCTTCTCTTTTAACTAACAGGTTTTAGCAGCTTCTGGTTTAAATGTGATTGTGGCCTGAAACACAAAATATTTTACTCTGCTATTCAATGCTTTGCATCTTTTTCAGCACATATATCTAAAGAAGAAAATGGTTTATTCTGGAGTCCACATCAAAAGAATGTTAGAAGTCATCAAAGAAAGTGGAGAGTAGAGCATATGCTGTTTTAAGGATAGCTTCAATCCTCTAAAAATTAGAAGCCAGATTCTGCTCTCACTGGTAACAGTGGGAAAATTTACACTGACTCCAGAATATGAACAATCAGATCCTGTAATATTAAAGACAGAGAGATATTTCTAAGGGAAAGTGTACAGGATATTTTTACTCAAGATCAAAATATAAATGCATACAACATAAGCCTAAAGGACAAGTTTCACTGGTTTTACTAAGAAGAGAATAATGGATGAACCAGAATTTGCAAGGATCATATCATTAGCTCTTTAACCTTTCTGAGCATCAGGGTGTATTTTGCTTGTTTACTTTTATCAGAGAAAGTTTTCTATTGTAAAATCATTGCTACAGATGTTCAAGTTACCTGGAATTTCTTAACTCCATCCATTTATGGAGCTTTGCCAAGTGCTAGCTGGTTTTGCTGTAATTATAGCTTGTTTATTATAAACTACTGCATAATAGGTGTTTTGATCAAAAGTAGTGAAGAGGTGATGGAGTTGCTAACTCAGAGCTTTCTTGCTCAAATCATGGTGTTGGCAAAGCAAATGAGCAGCCACTCCTCTCCCTCAGAAGGACCAGGCAATGAGCCTCATTTCTCTCTGACGTTAGCACAAGTTCACCATCACTCTTCAATGTGCAAGGAATCCTCTTTAAGCACAACTTGGGTCAGTACAGGCATCCCAAGCTGGGACAGAGATGGCAATGATGCAGTCAGGCTGTTGATTTGTTTCTCTGTACAGCACAAAGTTCTTGATTTCTTTTCCACAGCAGCAACAGGCCAACCTGTAAGTTCAGAACGTAGTTCCAGTCTACTTTCCACATAATTTGCTTCAATTTGGTTTCTAACACAGAAAGTAATCTAGCTTTAAAGAAGCTCCTTGGAGCAGGTAATGTTAGCATTGGATAGTCAAACCAGGTTTTCCTTCCTATCACAGCCTACCCAGAAGGCCAGTCACGGTATCAGTTCCAACAGTCATCAGCATCCAGGAAAACCTTGCCCTCTGCCCCTCAGGAGGCATCCTCTCTCAGGATGTATCAGAATCAGCAGTCATGCTCTTCCTGCAAGTACCTGTGATGGTCTAAAGTACAGGTTTAGGTAAAGAGAAGATCAGGATGAACTTGTATCCAATAGGGCTGTAAGTTAATGCACAGGGTAGCCCATGGAATTGTATTGGTCATTAATAGCTTAGAAACCACAACCAAGCAAACAAAGAGTAAATGATCATAAGAACAAAGAACAGAAAAATAAGCTATTGAAAGCAGGACTTTCTGAAGTTCCTGGGCCACTTATTTGACATGTTTTCCATCTCTGGTTTCAAATGAGTGGGTGAGATTGTTCAGAAACATGAGGGTCACACATTCATTCAAAACTGGGTGGAAAAACGAAATCAGATTATTTCACTGATGCCCCTGACTAGGGAGACTCCATGTATTTGTTAGGGGAATGTTTTAATCTTCCATCCAAAACCAAAATGACCTCTCATGGCATGCCTAGTAATTTAGGGTCTTCTCAGGTTTTTGAATTGTGCTACTGTATGTAGCTGAAAATTGTTTGATAAACATCAGTAAGTGGCCTGGCTTTAAACCAAGCCTGTCATCTAGTGGAGTGCTATGCTATTCCAACTTTAATCTAGATAACTGGCACACATAAAATAAGGAAACACAAATGTGACACAGCTGCAGCTAGTTTGCTGGAGCTAAAATGCTTATCAGTGTTTTATGCCTGTAATATGAGACTGCTTGGGAGAATCCTGTGTGCAAAAGAGTAGCAATCAGATTGCTTTGATATAATTGGTTCTAAAAATGTTGGAGATTTAGAATTTATGGTACCTTCAGTTTACAGTAAAATGCTTCTTGTGTTATGACTTCAGTAGACATTAGAAACACTGCAGAACTATGGCCAAACTTCACAAGTTACCACCCAACATGTGCAGCAAGCAAGGTTGTTAGTAAATAGGCTAATGATCAACAGTCTAAAAACAAGGCCCTTGACATAACTTAAGAGTGGTTTGCTAAGCAATCCATGTGCCCTTTTTGAATATTGTATCTGAATGTGCCAGGAAAACACAATGTATGAATTAAATTTACTAAATTAGAGTCAGTGTAGTAAATTAAATAAATAGTGTGTGATCCAAGTTCTTTTGTCAATAGTGCATTGATTATAATGCCATATACAGTACTAAACATCTAATAAACACAGAAAATCAGCTGGATAACTAGAGAATAAGTATACCACATTCTGGCATTTGATATTGTTCTGCAGATATAAGGAACCTTATTTGTGTTCTAGAAGTAAAAATACACCATCAATTACCCTACATTTCAAAATAGGAAACAGGTGCTCAGAAAAGAAATAGATCTTCTCCTTTAATTTTGGACATAGAGACAATATGGGGGAAAATCAATTCTGGTAGTAGAAGAGGCAGAGGAAAAAAAAAGTAAACCAGAAATTCTTTGCTCAACCAAGGTGTACTGTACAGGTGTACAGAACCTGTTATTAGGTCCATACTATAGACTTTGTTTCTCTAGAAGTATCTCTACAAAGGTGTAACATGCTGCTGTGATTACAATATTGGTTGTAAAAACCTGAAATAGCTGCCAGATTTACCAGTATGTCACTGGGATGCTGAAAAATGATGGCTTTGGCTCCTTGCTTTGCACCAAACTAAAGAGTATTGTACAGAGTTGGGTTAACACCCATGCACAGGCTTGCTCTCCTGGGACAGCAGCATCCTGTCATGCATGAAATGCTTGAAGAGGTTTTCTGAGACTAATGGTCCAACCTGGAGGCTGATGTAACCTCTACAGCTCACACCAGACTGCACAGAACTGCTCAGGCTGGGCAGGCCTGGTACCACCAGCAGATGCCTTTGCAAATCAAAGCTGCATAATTTACTCAAAATACTAATAGCTGTCACAAAGCTGTGAGCTAGCAAAGACAAAACAAAGCAAAAATATTGAGGGTGGCTGCTGGCAATGACAGCAGCTTCCAGATCTGGAAGTCATCTAACTGGCTTGTTTTTGAAAAGATTGTAGCTTTACATAGCAATTCTCCCTGATTCCTCTTGGCTGTTAAGCACTGTCACCAGATATATTCAAAGCTGCCATGTTTGGTTTCTTTTTATTGGGTCTCCAAGATAACCTTCAGAAAAACTTGTATGTTTTCAAGTTATATCAGGATTTTAGGGCTCAGTTGATAAGCATTTGTGACTAATCTGATTTAGGGGAGGATGACATGCAATTAGGCTGATAATCAGCTTGCAGTTTGTGACTGCTAAGACCCTATAAGGATGGTATTCTAATTTTTATGACCTGATCACACCCCTCCCCAAAAAATAGTCCAAGAAGCTTCAGGCACAGTTATTCACAAGAGTTGGATCCAGAAAAGTAAACATTTGAGAAAGTGTGAAATTTTAAGCATTTGGGTAGTTCTATCAGCTTCAACATACTTATGTTATGCTGGATCAGTCTCAGACTAGAGTGAGATATCTGTGAGAATGTAACTACCCAGTATTCTGCATATACCCCTCCAGTTGGGTTGTGCAGTGGTTTCTTTTGCATTGGAATGTAGTGAGTTGAGCATTTGTTTGGAAGCTTGGATGCTAGTGTAGAAGAGTGGCATTTTCCCTCAATTAGATTTATGTAGTAAATAGATGTTGGCTGTTCCTAAAGGTAAACCATTATTCATTCCTCTACAGTATTTATTTTGCCCAGAAAAGATGCACTCCCTCTCTCTGTAATGAGAGGCAGGGCACAGAGTTTGGTGAGTGTCTCTTTGCACACACAGACATGAATGTATTTTATGTTTAAACTAAGTACATGTTGTGAAGCACAGACCAAACACCGATTACTAGCAAGGATGGGTAACAGTATGTGGCTAAAGTTTCGGCAAGCACACAATTGTGTAATGAAATCACTTAGATGCATTGGAAAATTCATTTTCCTTTCACCCTTGGAAAAACTGATCCGCATGGGAAGAACTGGAATTTTATGCTGAGGTTTTAACTTCTGTTCCCTCAGCCTTCTCGAATACCCTCTCGCCCTTTCTGCTGGGCCTACAGCTTTTACATGTCTCTCCATGACTCTCTTCCTTTTGTCTGCCTCCTCAATGGCTCCAGAGTCCTAAAGAAATGTTCAGCTTTGAAGACTGGCCTAAAAAAATGGTAATTTTCCAGACAAAGGCCAGGTGTTACTTCCAATTCATTCAGTATGCATCCCTATTATCCTGCGGGTCAGCTCCTGCTGAGCGCGCTCCATGGGTGTTCCGACTGCGTAAGGCCTGCGAGATTTGCCCCGTGTGACTGAACTGCAGATGGAACTTTCATAGCTCTTATTTTAGCAGCAGTCAATTTGCCAAACTTTTTTAATAGCAAGCTAGAAGGTGATTTCTGTGTCACAGCCTCAGAGCTTTCTCACGCCAACCAGAGAAGGAGATGAAGCATCCATCGTCAGAAGAGGGCCGGACACGAGAGCTCTGGCCTGCGGGCAGGGCGGCCATCAGCGAGCTTCCCCTGCGCCTGTGCCACTACAGGGGGCATGAATTTTGGCTCATGGCATTTTGGCTCGTGGGATTTTGGCTCGTGGGATTTTGGCTCATCAGAATTTGGCTCATTGTGCCCCTTCCTGCTCCCCCTGGTGAGGCAATATCAGTTCCCCTCAGAGGCAGTGCAGCAGGAGGAGATGCGGGCCAGGCTGTGCAGAGCAGACCTCCCCAGGCACCCCAGCGCTGCACATCTTCTGTGTCAGGGCCGAACGGAGCCTTGGCAGGGCTCGCACAGGCATCCAGTGCCTTGCCAGGATTCCGTCACTCCTTCTGGAGGCACCATCCTCTCTGCAGATTCCTCTTCACAGCAAGGTCAGCCATTTCAAGCAAACAAAGAGTTTGGATCATTGTTTACTCTCAGGACAGATTATTTTTTCTCTATCTCTGCAACCAGGGTTAGATGAAAAAAAGAAACAACCCACCCTTTGTCAATATACTGTATCCAAATCAAACTAACACATTTGGTTTCTGCTAGAAAACAAAGTCAAGTTTCAGTTTCTAAATAAACCATTTATGGAGTCATTGCTCTGGAATTATGCCTTTCTTTCCTGTGTCTCCTTTCAGATAAAGAGAAGAATCATCTTAGATAAGTAATGCTATCTGCAGCTGCTTATATCCAGTTAAATCCAAATTTCTTTAAAAGAAATGCTAAATGCTGCTGAAAATTCCAGAAGTTAGAAGCTGAGATGTCATTCAAAACCTTCTTTTTGAATTCTTATTGCATCAGATTCAGTCATTCATGATGATTCCCCTTACATTTTACCACTGGAAAACCCTGCATCATATTCAGTGATAACTAGATCAGGCTCAGGATATTTTACTGCATTTTCTTAGTCAAATCAAATTTCTTGTTACACAGTGGAATAAATTAAACCACGATGTCATTATGGGGCCACTAGAATACTTGACTACTACTTTCATACTTAACAGAAATTTCTAGAATAAGCTTAAAATTGTGCATTAATAATTTCTTATTTTTGATTGAGTTATCACCTCCCTTATGTATTTTTATTATGCATTTTTTCTTGCTCAGTCAGAGTGAGACATGTACCAGACCATCTAAACGATGAGTACAAAAAGAAGAGAAAAAAAGATATTTAAATGAGATTGGGACATCATAAATTAATGGCTCATTGCATTAGAAAGGAAAAAAAGAGAAAATAAATTTTTCTGCAAGGCACCCTAAACCAGCCATGCAATGGGGAGGATTTAGGCAAGGCAACAAAGGTGATGGAGAAGTATAATGAGTGGCAGTGAGGACTCTGTGCTTACACAGACTGTGACAGCCACTGTGAGTGGGCTCAGCAATTAAAAAGAAGCAAAGTGCTGTGACTAAGCACAAACCCAACAAACTCATGTTTACGCTGGGAGACAGATGACTTGAATGCAGCTACTCACGGTTTTTGCTGAAGAGGATGAGAGGAGATGATCAGCCAAGGCCAGGATGACAAACCACCAACTTCACATCAATGGTGGTGAAAGACACCATGGAATGTGGATTTTTAAGAGTGCGTTCAGATTTCATTACAGCCACGGCAGCTGGCAGGGGCCTCTGTCTGAAAATGTTTAGCAGAAGAGAAATGGGCTTAATCACAGGCTTGGATGCTCTTCTGTGTTTCAAGTAGACAGTGCTGAAAATGAAGGTGATGTGAGGCCTGTAGTTACAGGGTTTTTGAATATCTAAACACGATTTCACAACTTCTTTTTTCCCTGTCCAGGGTGAGTTTTTATAGTTTAGCCTTTAATCTTGTGAAGCAGAAATTTAACGTGTCAGTGTTGACAGACTGTTAACTATAGCAGCAATGATGAAGCTTCTATAATATTAACCTTTCAAAAAATAAAACTGCAATAATGATGTTGTTTCCATTAGACCTTTCAGATCACTTACAAATTATCTGGAACTCCTACTGTTTATTTGTTTTTACTTTAGATTGTTGCCCCAAGCACTTAAATAATTGTAATAAAATAATAATAGAATTAAGATTAGATAAATTAAGTGGAAATGAAACTGAATACATTTTCCATGACAGCTGGCAAGTCCCATTCTGTGGCTGCTCAGAAACAGAACTGGAATTTTTATGACAGTAGACAATAAGGCGATCGTGTACAGGATGTAACCCAATGCTCAAGAGGAGCAGTGTGCAAGTGACACATCAACAAAAACAAACTTGTTTCATTTATGTACTATTAATTACCATAACTTACATAATCATGGACATCTGTTCTCCCTTTCTCATACATGTACCTATGCACAGATAATTACCACTATCTACTGGTCAGAAGAGCATGTAGCATAATATAAAGATAAACAGATTATAGCATATAATTCTATATTATTATACATATATACATACATCTATATATATATACATATAAATACAGATAAGACCAGCTTTGTCTTATTTATTCATGCATCACTTCGCAAGCAATTTTTTTAGTCCTTAAACTTCATATTGAAACCATAATAACTTGTTTGAACTTGCATACTTGGAAGAGCATTATAGAGAAAGAAAGAGCAAATAATTTTTAACTAATCAAAAATTAAGTATGACAATATCAGTTTAGTATCTTTTGTATGATTGTTCCAAAACACTGTTTCAAAAGATCAAAAGATTTTGTTTTCCAACTAGACTGTAAAGGTTGATTAACTTTAATAAATTTGTAATTTTCCAAAAGAAATAGCCACTGTTTTATTGCAGTATTCAGATAAAAGAGAAAAGCAACTGGTGCACAAATTACAGTCCTTAGGAAATAGGGCTTTTTTCCATGTTGATTCTCGAGTACTTAAGGGTGATATTTGAAATGATCCATGAAATGTCTTATGACTGTCCCTGCCCAATAACTGTGCTTTTGGAGTCCAGAAAGCTGTTTTTCTTGAATGTCAAATCACAGAATGATAGAATGATTTACACTGGGAGAGAGTTTAAAGTTCACCTAGTTCCAAACCCCAACCATGGAGAGGGGCTATTTGTTTTTGTGCCTAAAATTTTACAGCCACATATCTTCTATATACAAACTAAGGGTTGGTCAAGAGCACATCTGTTAAAAGTGACATTTTATAACAAAGAAGTGGAAATACCTACATACATAAGGTTAATAAATATACTTTATATTGATTTATATGTACTACTGTGAGATAGGTAAAAGCAAAAACTTGCTTTAACATACATTTTTAAAAGTTATGAGATCTTCAAAGGCTGCTGACATTTAATGGGTGTTATTAACTTTTATGTATAAAATTTTGAAATTTATATGAAATTGTACATATTAAATTAATTTTAAATTTCATCTTACCTAGTCAAGGGGCCTGACTTTGCTTGCATTTCAGTAAAATGCAGTTGGATGACAAGTCAAAAAATGGTTATGACATTTTTCTGCAAGTGTCATGGAAAACACATCCTGAGTTAAATAACCTTAAGCAGCAGGTGCTGAATTAGTGCTCTCACTTTTGAGGAAGATAACTAATCAAATCAATCTAGATGTGCCCCTGGTTAGAGGAATTCCTGCATGTGACAGAGAATTGCTGCTCCATGTTTAGTTATTTCTGAAAACACTATTAACTGTAGATTTGGATATTTAATTTATTTACTGCCTTTTTTCAGCCTCCACCCTTTTGGTCAGTGCATGAGGATTGTGCCAGCAGCTGGAGAAACTGGGGACACCAAGATGGTGAGGAAAGCTTGCTTTACTGAAACTAAAAGGAACTGTTTAAGTACTGCCAAATACTTATTGGGAAAAAGAGCAAGACACAGACCATAAAATTCTTGCATCTGTTGACCATTTAATCTTTTTTTCTGTAAACAACATAATGTAGCACTGTATATTATGAAAGAAAAAAGAAATAAACTTCTACCATGCAGCTGTATGAGAACCCACTGGACATTTCTTCCTTATTAGCCAGTAGGGCAGATTAGTCTGCATCCTGAGTCCTGAGGATTTAGATAATTTCCACTCTTGTTTTTCCTTTCTTTTTTTTTTTCCCCACTATATATCTGTTTTCAGTCTCTAGTGTAATAATTCAATAATGTGTTCATTTCAATCCTGTGAAACTATTTACATACTGTGCTTCTGTTGTATTTCTTTGGAGAGGAAAAAACTCAAAAGACCACCAGGCAGAAAGTCAAGTCATCAGTCCATGGTCCCACTGGGCTTGTGGAATTAAGGGATGAAATCTCTGCTGTTGTACAATGCTCCATGAGGAGGCTGATGACAACAGGGAAGGAGAGAAAGATAGGGGAATAATTATTTATTTTATTAGATATTTTTTTATCAGTTTAAAATTGCTCTGCTGTTTTAAACCAGTAAATTTTTCCTCTGCCTTCACACCTTCACATCAAGAGTCTGACAAACACTGGAAACCGATGGAAGACAGGATTTGAGGTGATCCTGTGGTTTCTAAAAGCTAATGGGGATGAACAGAGATTGATATATAGATATAGCTATAGATATGGATAAGTCAAGCAAAGGAGACTGAACTTGGTTTGTACTAATCCATGTCCCGGTGTTAGGGGGTAGAGGGTGGAGCAGAGGGTTTCATTTTTATGCCTGAATTGTCTTGCCCAGTATACTGCAAAGAAAAAAAATCTGAAGTTAATTTACTGAGCCATGAATCTTCCCTCCTCCTCCTCTTCCTCCTCCTAACTGTAAGTGTGCTAAAATAAGTTCTGGTAGAACAAGGAAGAAGCTGTGACTGGGTACGACTGGCCTCTTTGACCTGGTTAAAACTTATGTTCTGATATATCTGTGTACTGCCCACTTTACACCCATTAAAATCCAGACTAGATTCCCAGGGAAATCTATGTCATTTTAGGACAACTGAAAGAGATTTTTTTTTCTAATAAAACTTGTGCCAAGTAACACTGGTTTTAATGGTGTAATTTTATTTCTTTAAAAAATGTAGTGCCTCCTCTGAACATTTTTTCTGAATAAAAATGTTTTATCTTTTCCTTAAAAATTGCTGTATTTTAAAGAACATTTTTTTCCCCAGCACCTGCTTAATCTTTTGTTCCACAGATATTTTCTCATTACCCAGGTGTCCTCTTATGGACCCAGAAAGATTGGGCCTAGTTTAAGTGTGAAATAATCCTGTTGCTTCTATCTGAGAATGAATGAGCCCAGGATTAGATCAGATAAAACACACTTGAGATAAAGTGCACAAGGTGGATTATATGAGAAAAGAGGATTTAGTGAAGAACATATCCACAACTTTTTGTTAACACAGAGAATGGTAGCTTTTGTAAGCAACATTTATGGAAACTCAACTGGAGGTTTAAAAGCTATGTCTTTTGTTGTACATTTCTCTGCATACATTTGCTTTGTAGCTGGTAGCTTTAACTTTGGAAGCCATGCTGGGCCTTGACTCATGCTCATTTTGCTTAATGAAAAGCTAAGGATGTACTTTTACTCATAGATTCTTGTTTTGTTTTCTTTGAAGTTTATTAAGCTATCCAGAAAGATGGGAGGTTCATTAGGTTGTTATTATCACGGCCGCAAATTAAGCATCTGTTCCCTGGGGAGTTATAACCTTCAAGTGGATATCAGAGCCATACTTATTACAATATTTACTTAATTACCAAGTTAGTGCTCTTGTCATATAAAATACAAACATGGACTCTGCTGTCCATGTTAGCCATATACTCTCCACCTGCTAAATTTTCAAGATACACTAATTTTATTGAAGTTCTCTTTTAAAATATGTACCAATTTTTTTGGTAAACAATTATTGAAAAAGTTAAACCAAGAATGATGGAGCAGAGTTAGGAATTTAAGGTATCATCAAGAATATTCAAAAATGCTAAGGTATCTGACATTACAAATGACTTGCTTTCCCATCTAGAGACAAATGTAGTTTCCAGTACCAACAAATGCATCAAAACATTAGCAAATCACGATTTGTCAAAGCATCTCAAAAGTCAGCATCAAGATATGTTTTGTCAAGTAGCTGGGTGGACATCATTGGACTTGATAGTACCACTCAGGTAAATACAAGGCTGAAGCACAAATATTTTAAGAAAACTCTGGGAATTTCACCTAAGAGGTAAATTACCACCACAAATATCTGAAAGTCATTCTTCATCGTAATTTTGTGGGGTTTTTTCCTCCTCTTCAGTGCTTCATTTAACTAATGTTGTAAATTACAGGATTACCAGATCTTCCCTCTTTAGTCTTCTGACAGTGTCAAGCCATATGAGCTCAAAAATATTATTCCCTCTTCTCAGACATGACTTGTGTGAACAGATAAGACTCAACACCACACAACAAAGTCTCTATGTTTTGAAAATTCATGCCCATTTTTACTTCAGAAATTGCATTTGGTCTTTATAGAGTTGCTTTATTTTTACTCTGACAAACTCATCATCTTGCCATCTACCACAAAATAAAAATATTCACATTATTCATATTTTTCACAAATAACTATTGGTCTGTTAGTAATGCACTGTTTGACATGGTGCATTCTTGCAGCCCTTTTCACTGTAAAGAAACCCTGTAATTATTTAACTTTGATGAACATTTTTCTGGAGATGTTTGTGTCTACCCCAGCTGTAGAGGGAATGAA